CCCCCCCTCCCACCTCCAAAAAAAAATTGGACTTTCCCAGCGTTCGTGGCCATGACGTTGAATCGCAGCGAGATAGAGAAGCATACTGGCGTAAAGGAATAAAATAAAGCAAAAGGCGCACTTACCCGATCGAGATGAATACCTTATCACCGACATGAAAGCTAGCCAAGACAAAGTGTCAGCTGACGGAAGTAATGAACACAGATCAGTTAAAGAAAAAAATTTTTGTGCAATGCAAAAAATACCTTCGCACCAGTTGGCATGAATTTCGATGAATTCGCATCGGAATAAGGGAGCAGCTTTGTGCCGGATAGCACATATGATGATGAATCCATAGCAATATATTCAAACAACTGCTTCAGCGCCTCTTCTCGGGATATGTGGTTGGATTTCACGCAACGAATGAGTCTTTTCACTTCTTCTCTGATTTCACTTCGCGACCTGAAACGAAACGGGATTCAATCTTTCGCATTACATTTGAACTTTAATTCTGTTAGTCAATCAGATAAATTCTGATTTTCATTGACAGATTTCTTTTGCCTGCGTTTTGTGATAGCTATTGCATCGGGAAACTTAGGACAAGGAATCGGGGTAATTTTTTTTTGCTTATTTCACAAAATTTTATGTATACTCTTGAATAATCTATTCAGGCCTCTAAGTGCAATTCACTTTTACCGCAGTCTGATGCCTTGAAAAATACCTCACCATCTACAAATAATGTCAATAAAATCAATGTAGGAATTCGATGGTACTGAGACAAATAGCAGCTAATCGTAACTTCTGTTTAAACAAATAACGTACCGCATGCAAAAACTGCTCGAACTGTCCAGTTGTGCGCCAGAAGCATCCACCTAAAGAACAAACCAGCATATCACAAAACAATTTCCCATTGTCACCTTTAACATTGAGACCAAAGATCACTGCTCACAGCACTGACACTCGCACGATAGAAGAAGGATGGAAAGCAATTTTGGTGACCCTTGCCCAAAATATCGTTTTCCGAAGGCTGCACTCTATTTACTTAAATATGACAATTTTTAAAACTCACGCAATGAATTTAGTGCCTCGACCTAACTGTACATTTTTTCAAACTTGCTGGTTTCCAAACAGTACCTTTCGGTCACTTAGCAGGACTTTACATTCTCATGATCATATTCTGTGCAAAAATTTCACATCGGACCCAATCAAATTTCACAACCGCCGATCCCACTTTTTATGCGTTTTGTGCTGTGTAACAGTGGTACAAAACGCATACTGCCACGGGGTTGTCTGTGTGTGTGTGTGTGTGTGTGTCCGCAGCAACTTATCCGCAACTTTCAATTCGGGAATTACAAAAGCTAGGAAGCTGAAAATCTAGGGGGACGTTCCCCACCCACGTGTGACCAGCAAATTTAAATTCAGCTTCCCCGTACCCACTGGCAACACATATGGCTCCGTGAAAGTTTTTCACGGGTAAATTAATATCTCGGGAACTACGGAGTCTAGGAGGCTGAAATTTTAGGGTAATGACTCCCTGCACACGCTCAACTTTGCCAATTCAAATTCAGCCTTCCCGTACCCGCGGGTAACACATATGGCCCCATAAAGTCTTCCACGGGTAACTTAATATCTCGGGGACCGCGGAGTCTAGGAGTTCTTCGCCCGCATGGTCGCACCGGCTAGTCTGGTGCGCGTTGCTATTTATCTAATTTTTCCTCCCTACACCAACACTCTGCTTTGGCGAAGTGCCAAAATCGCTGGTATAGGGACGAAAAAAGACGCCAAATTTAGCACCTCGACCAACCACTATCTGCTAGCAGTCAATGGTGTAACATCACATCTGAGCCAATCACAGTAATGCGTAGCATGTTATGTAACTATGGCCTGCCCATAAAACAAACAAAATAAAAATATCATACAAGCTCGACTGCTCGCGTGTATGTAGTAGATCCACCATAGCGCTGAGGATTAATGAACTTCCGCATGCCCACCAAAGCTCCCAAAGTTTGCTCGGCTGGCACATTCTCGATGATATAATTAGCGCTACAGCTCGGCGTTACGGTTTCTGTCTTCACCAAACCTGCTGTTGCCAAGTTTCCTTCGGGCGACGAACTCTTCGCAGATGAGTCAGCAGTTTCTGCAAACGGGAAACGATTCAAACAAGTTATCAACAACTTCTCTGCCGAAAAGTTCCACAGCCCGGGAGAGACTTTCATGCAAGATTATGAAAAAAGAAAAAACCACTGGTCAGTCAACGTGAAACTCCCGAACAACAACAACTCATGGCCATGCATTTAGTCCGGCTACATCAGACTTTCCAGTCTTAAGCTACCTAAGTTGCCATTTTCTAGAACACTGCATAAGCTCACAATCATTTCAGTAGTTCTTTGCCATTTTTAGTCCCGCTAATACATGTATGCTCACTACTGCCAAACAAGCATTATTTCTCTTCAAATAACTTTTTTCAGAGCGATATTCTGCGCGTTTCTTATTTGGCAGAATGCGACTGTTTTTAATGCAGCGATCGCATAAAAAACGTTCCTAGCATCTTTCGTCTTGTTACTGTTCTGTTTAAAGCCAGTGTCTGTTCCTACTTCTGTCAGCGCTACCTGTTCTTTTTGCAAATGTCACTGCTTCCAGTGCAATGACAATAAATGGCAACGCGCACCAGACTAGCCGGTGCGATCATGCGTTTTGTGCAATTCTGCCCATCGAACGATTGCCTGTTAATGATTTTCACTTCCTTGTATTTTAGTTAGTACAAAAATAGTTTAAACATTGAAAAACAGTTAAAAATTTCACGCACCAGCGTATGAAAGCTGAAA